GGGTTAGTCACAAATAATATACTCACACACCCAGCAATTGTGTTTAGACAAAATCCTCTGATTTTCATAGAAATTTTTGGAAAATGTATTCAATTTCACTCATCGCTAATAATCACTTAGCCTAAGTTAAGGTATTCCCATTCTGGCATGTGTTTCAGCTTAGATGATATGTTGTAACTATCACTTATTGGTCACCTACCTAACTACACGCCCAGACACATCGGTTCCATCTGCAATTCAAATGTGTGGACTTGTATTAATGGAAGTTGCTTCTGTGTTATACAGAGGTGACAACATCTTCAGAGCATAATCCCTTATTTGGTCCTGAGAGATTTAAAAAAAATAAAGATGTTCCACAGCAGAAAATTTAATAAATTCTAAAATATATTTTAAAAAATCTGAAAAGTTTCACAAACTATTAAATCAAGTGGTCCTCTTCTGGAGGTTCCATATCAGAGCAAAATGTTGCATAGAAGCTGGAGTTTCACTTCACTAAAAACATAGAGAGGCACATAATAAAAGTGCAAAATGGGCATTTTTATTTTTGTACTATATTCATTATAGCATACATGTATTTTTGAACTAGTAATTTATTTGAGAATAATATTCTGAGACATGGTACTATTTCCAGCATGGGTTTTATTATTACAACCGATTTTCCCTTTAATGAGAAATATATTATTTCACCATATGTAGTTCACAAACTGAGCTTATGTGAATTTTAAACAAGACTGAAAATAGCTGTTGCATGTAAATTGCCAACACAAGACTATGAATAATTTGAATTAGCAATTCATATCGAGATACAGAAAGATACATCACATATGTGTTTTCAGCTTCTCTGTGTTCACAAAGTAGGAAACACAATGAAAGCTATAAAAAGAAAAATGTAAAGGTATTCTTAAAGCAATTTCATCAAAATTATTTCAGTTTTCACTACTAAAATGTTTTTGAAAGAATATAAGCTATATAAATTGTTCTTGTGCATAAAACAATTATAAGTATACTGGCTTTAAAGTTACTCTCACGTTAAAAATGTAATATGTAAAATCAAGTCCTCCCTGCATAGAAGACAGTTCATTCTCACCTCTCATGCTGCCTGTGCCATTAAACTTTGCTGCAATGAGGAAAAGAAGGGTCAGGGATCTAAGACTTCCAGAAGTGCCAGAATTTGAGGATTCTTTGGATGGTGGTTTCTTTTTATCACAGCACAAGAGATGAGTAATTACTATCTTCTTTGCAATTAAGACTTTATTTTACAATTTTACTCTTGTAAAATGTAGTTGCTGGGAGGGGCAGTCTAGACCAACAGGGTGCCTGCTGGCTTCTCACTAAAATGTCCTTAAAAAAATAAAAAATCCAGCCATGAGTCATGCAAATACACACATATACATTATCACGGCATCTCTTCATTACCACAATAAAAAGTGAATAACTTCCAAAGGTGGAAATGGATTTTAGTTATGTGCATGTGCATTCCATGTGCATATGGAATAAGCAAACAGGAAATGGAAAAATAAAAGAAAAGTCCGAACAGCACAGGTATTAAACTAAAAACACAAAACATAGGGTACTTTAAGCGCACACGTATGTTTAGACCAG